AATTTTCGTTCATTTTTCGTACTCGATCACCGCGAATTGCATTTTTGTGACACGGTACAGATTTTATTTATTCGTGCGCAGGACTCGTGGAAAACGGTGCTGGCAATTCGGGCCATACCTCTCTTAATTCGTAGTCCGCTCGAACCGCTCAAAGTTAATTTCCAGCTCGATAAAAATAATTGACTAACAAGTAAGTTCAGCGAGAACCGCGCGCGGAAAAACTCTCGATAAGTGATTTTCTGTAATACTTGGGCGTGACACGTAATTATTCCCACGGTGACAAATTGACAAGATATGTAAATGACAGTTACTTCTCTACTTAGACATGGTCGTTTTTGTGAAACGAACATCGTTCCTATTTAACTTTAATTGGTAGTGTATTCGTAACGCAGGTGTCAAGGTTCGAGTGTTCATTTTATAACAGAGAAAAACACCGAGTACAACTTGCTGAACTTGGTCCATCCAGTTACTTCTTGTACTTGCACGGTTTTTGTAGATATGCATCTACTAAATTTCTAAAAACTGTTTCAAGTATATTTGAAAAATGTTCGAATAACTTTCTCGGGCAAAATTCAAACTTTCCTGCTACCTTCCTTAAGTTCATGGAGAATATTCAAAAAGTTGTCTCTGTAAATTTCGATTTTCCCTCCTCTTGCGAAACTTCTGCGAGCACCGCTGCTTGTACTCGACTCGTATACAAATATAAAATTCACGGCGATGGAATGGTTAAAGGTATCGTCGTCCAATTAATAGTTTTCCCACGCGCTCCGGGGGTATTGTCGCATTGACGGAGTAGGCATAGCAATTTGAAACGGATCGCGATAGGGTGACGTGCAGCGGGACGACAGGACGAGACGGGACGCGATAGAACAGGACGAAATGAAACGGAGTGGGCGCAAATGGCCGAGAAACGATAGAAAAAGGGACACGTGTGCGCGAACCGAACGCAAAGACGCATCTGGCTGCGTCGGAAAAGTTTAACCCAGTTCCATTTGACGAGCCGTCGTTTAATGAGAACGGTTCCTCGTATCTGAAAGTAAAGCGTGGTATTGTTACGACTCGCCGTTACTACAGTCCTGCATACGAACGGAGGAGTTATGGATCCGTTCGATCGTCTCGTAAACGTTCGGGAAGACGTTCTCTTGAGTCGCTAACAATTCGCGAAACGATTGTTGATCGAACCGGGGAAAGGAACGGGCGAGAAAAATGAATTGAACGATAACCTTGCGTGTAGATGGGGCCAGCTCGAAGAAGATGACCCGGAAACACTGATGGGGATACTCGCTCGACTCGATCGCACCATCATGCGCAATCCAGAACTCGAAAAGTAAGCGACAGTCTTAGCAAGGTACCGGTTCATTTATTTATCAGTGGACAGTGAATTGTTACGTAAATTCACACTTTTATGTGTACAGAAAACGTATGTTTTATTTTCTGAACGGTACAACATGTACTTATTTATTACTAATACCGCAGTGCTGCAGAGATGTATTTAAACATACGGAATTTATTTGAAACAAAAGTACATAAAGTCCAGCTGCTCCGAGTTCGTTTTCTAGACGCTATAGGCGAGCGATGTCTGTTATTAATCGCCTGAATTTTGTTCGTAGCAACAAACGAGGCCTGGATCTGGGTTTGAGCCGTGGTTTCAGCGGATCCCAGGCAGCGAAACACCTGATGGGCTTGGCGGCAGCGAATTACGCTGGAGGACCTGGACGACGACGCCGTTCCGAGCAACCCTAGATTTAGAACCATCGATTCGCTCGATCGCACGCATCCCGACCTCGAGCTCGATCTTCGTCGATGTTCATTCGCGTTCGTTCGTACCTTTGTTCGCGACTTGCTAATTAGTTCTCTTTTCTGACCGTTTACGCGCGCTCCAATACACACACACACACGCATACTTATCGCGTTTTCGCGCCTGTCTCCCCTGATCGCACCTATTTCCCTCCTCTAGGCAGAGATGGGCGAAATTCTTATCCGAATGACGAATCTCGAATAAAAGACGAACGAAATATTAAGGCAACTTCTTCCTAGTCATGCACAAGCAAGCAAAAGTTCATTTATTCGGCTCGACTTCATGTTTTATTAGAATATTCGTTCCTAGTTATACAGTACATATATATGTAATAATTAAGGAAATAGTTTGGATTTTTTCGATGGATCTGCCAGTGGCGGATTATGTAGTCTAGGACCCAGGATATTCAAGAAAATTAAAACTATATAAAGCAAAATATGTAGAATAATTGAATCTGTTCTTCGTTGGATATTAGGCTTAAATTAGACTTCAATGACCGAATAATAATATTGTCCAGGGCTCTATCGAAGCTTGATCCGCTACTGACGTCTATACAATCTTTCAGAAGCATCTAATTACCTTCCACTCCTACTAATTTTAATCTATATATATATATATATATATATATATTATTCTTAACCAATGTACAAAATTTCGATCTCTTAATTATCGAAATAAAGTAAGCAACTTCGATTAAAACCTCAATCTAAACTTACGTTTCACGTCGAACGAATACAAGCTTAGCACGATAATTGTTAAATGGAATAAACTCAGAATAAATCGCTATACACGGTGTTTTCATTCGTCATTTATCGTTCGAATAAAATTCCGCCTGTCTCTGGTTACAACCTGGCTCCGCGCAATTCCGAGCCAACCCGTTACATCCTCGTCTAACAATTAGTCCGTCGTAACCATGAACTCGTTCGTAACTCGTCCCTGTTCTCGCAATTTCCCTTCGACTTTTACCGTTCGCTCTCTGGTGAATTTCAACGCGGTAGCGTACACATAGCCCATGTATTCTAATCGCCGTTGCGTCAGATCATTTTCAGCACACGAGTGCGAGAATGGTGGACAGAGAGGCGGAGAGGAGGTTGCAACAAAGCGACGCGTCCTCGTAGCTCTTGATTCGAAGACGACGTTAACAAGGCAACTGACAATTATCGATTCGATTGAGATTCAGATGCATGTTACGATGGTCAGTAAACTGATACTCGAATAACATACGTACACCCTTGCTATAGTAATCGACGAACGCATCTGCAATATTAATTATCATTTCCACTCTGGAACCTTTTATCGTTTTGAAAATGGAGTAGGTTTTAATTTAACGCACTCTGGGTGCAAATCATTCAAACTACTTCTCGCAAGATTCTTAGGGTACATTTTTAACACTTTACCGACCGGTAGTAATTGTACGTATGATAAAATTCAAGAATATTCCTTATTTTGATAACGTAAGGATTACGCAATATTTATCTTGACCATTAGAAACGTTTTCTCATTAATATTTATATAATATTTCATAATTTATATAATTATCAGAATATACAAATATACAATCGGTAATAAATAAAGTATCGGTTACCATTGCAAAAAGCAGATTAATAGGCTGCCAGTCGGTAAGGTGTTAAAATAGACGGTCTAGGTAACACCAGAGAAGGTGTACATTCACTGCTGAAGGTGAATGTATTACTATTTCCATTTAAAGGTTTCTCTCACGTTCATCGAGTACTTTAACAGAGGCACATGTGTGCTAGTTCACATTTGCTAATTTGTTCCTTTTTGTTTCTCAATTTCTAGCAAAATAAACACGATAGGGAAGACAGAGTAGATGCATAAAAGTGCATAGACGGCGTGGTGCATCTGAACTCTGTCACAGAGACCTAATCTTAGATGCAATTCCGTTGCGAAAACACTTTTCTCGTGTACATATGTACACACGCGTGCCCTACATTAAACTGGACGTAGATCGTAGACAAGACAAACAGATATACCACGGAAAACGAGATAAAAATGTTTCGTTGAGCGAATATAGGTTCGCCTATCGAGCCATCGTCGCGCAAGCACTGGTCGTTTATTATTTATCTTTGCATCTGATCGTCCTCGAATGGCTATACGTGTATCGATATCTCCGCAGCTATTGTATATTCGGAATTATCGTGAATACGAGCAACGATGTCCACGTTTTTTTTCATCGCGAACGAACAACTAAACGGTTTATTGAAAAGCATAAAATGCGCTATACGTAGTCCACGCGTTGTGGTACACCTGTGTCTACCTTTGACTAATTGCGAATAAACGATACCTACTTTGATTTACTGGCACACTCGTGTCTTTTATTTACGTGTGATATTCACGTTAACTATAATTAACACGTTCGTCGCCACGTCACCCAGAAATAGGTGACAGGACTTTCTATTAAGGAACTAAAAAAATAAATTTCAAAGGTCAGACAATAATGAAAATAAGTCTGGACAGATTTTCGTGAATTTGGCGACATTAAAAAATTAAATGCTACGAGAGATGTTAAATTATCTAATCTACAATAGTCTCGAGACAAAATTTTAAATGTATAGAAATTTTCACCAGTTTTAGCTAACGTGTTAAATAAAATGATTAAGGGCACCAAAGTGGACGCGTTACGCTCCTGAAATTACGACACTGCGTCGCTGGAAACGCTGGAGTCAATTACGAGTTACGAGTGGAGTCGCCAGTGGTCGCTAGTCGAACGAAAGTCGAGCGTGATGTCAGTAACGCGACGAAGGTTATGTTAGTTATGTTGTTATGTACGTACGCGGAGGATATGTAGCGATCTCTGAGTACTAAAGGGCTCTAAAACAAACAGAGTGCCCTTGAACATAGAATGTCGACCGTACAGAGACGGACGTGGATCGATCATTTCGTGAGAGATAAACTTAAAGGCCTGATCACTCCTAGGTGAACGTACACCTACAGACAGTTTAAAGAATTCCTTACATACACTTCCGTACATATTTTCATCGCAGAACATTAATGGTATCATGCATAAATAGTGTCATGTATCATTTTTATCGACTCTATCTATTCGGGGCGCAGCGTCCCGCCGTTTTGGTCCTATCGCGAGTCGCGTAATCACGTTACTAATGTTCATCTTCTCGTTAAACAATTATAATCATTCGATAGATCCCCGTCGCAACTAACAGTCCACATCGATGCTTCGAACCCGACGAATAAAAATCGCTAGCGTACAGACGCTGACGCGAGTTCTTCGTTACCGACGATGAGACGAACGCGAATCGTATACGGATAGAAACATAGAAAGCAAATATCGTGGAGAACGCGCTATTTAGTAAACGACGTTCAGTCGCGTATCGTAATCGCGCTGCGAGAGTGAGAAAAGTTTATCTCGTCGATAAGAGAATAAAGTGCGTATATGAGCGTATAAAAATGGATAGTGGAGCAGAGCGTCGATCGAATAATCCCGATCATCGTTTTCATCGACACGGTAAAAAAATGGGTGTTCGTGTAACGGTGGTGATACTCGCCATAGGTATCGCCATCACACTGTTTGCCTATACAGCGTTCGCATCTCCGAGCAGCACCGTCCACGACGCGACATCCGTGCAACAAGTGATATTCGTAAGTATCGCCGTGACAGTCTCAAACGCGATTCCACCATCCTCCGTTCGATTAATTAGGCCAATGGCCTCGACAGGTTTTTCGCCATGGAGATCGAAACCCCACGGAAACTTACCCAAAGGATCCGTATCTTAACTATGACTGGCCAGGTGGATGGGGATCTCTGACGAAGGTTAACAAAATTACAATGAACTTGTTAAACTCTCGAATGCTGCACGGTACGACGATTAAACGCGTATCGTGTTGCAAATTTTGGGCATAATTCGAACAATTTCGAACAAGGTTTTATCTAGATAATTATACAGGGTGTCCCAAAAATGTTGAAGATCTTTGAAAAGGGTGATTCGGGAGGTCAGCGATGGACAAAACCCTAGGTTTCGAATAAATCTGAAGTTTGCCGATATGTTTGTCTCGTTTCCTCTTTTGAACATTTTCCAGAGAAAGAAACGAGATAAACACATCGGCAAACTTCAAATTTATTCGAAGCCTAGGGTTTTGCACATCTCTGCGGGAGGTGATTTGAAACAACTTTTTCCTTAGCGAAAATGTTGTTCGAGGCTTGGTTGTGGAGATATTAACGGAAAAACCCGACCAATCAGAGCGCGAGTATGCCGGTGAAGCGCCCGCGGTAGCGTACGAGAGCGGCCACCTAGCGCGTAGCCTACGCTACCGCGGCCGCTCCAACGATATACGCGCGCTCTGATTGGTCAGTGTTTTCCGTTAATATCTCCTCAACGAAGCCTCGGACAACATTTTCGCTAAGGAAAAAGTTGTTTCAAACCACCTCCCGGACCACCCCTTTCAAGATGTTACAACATTTTTGGGACACCCTGTACAGATTATTAATTGTTTGTTATGTACACTCCGTTGCATTCGTTGTCTTGCAGTCCATATGACGATAAGAAACAGGAGAGGAATAGTTATCTAGATAAATGTATGCCCAATTGTGTCACGCATTAATTTCGCGAGAGAACTAAATTCACGGTAGCGGTAAACGTGGAAACGTTACGTAGAAGGGGATGGTTCAATTGTACAACGTCGGCCGATGGATCCGCGACGTGTACGGTTCGTTAATTGGCGTCAAGTACAAGAGCAGCTTATTACTGGCACAAAGCAGCTACGCAGATCGATGTATAATGTCCGCGCAGACATTGCTGGCCGGTCTGTATCCGCCGAGCTCGGATGAAATATTCGTTCCGGGATTGAATTGGAGACCAGTTCCGGTCCATTCCGTTCCGAGAGACTTGGACAAGGTGCGTAATACCTCCATGGTAATACTCGAGAAAAGTAGGTAACACATCGGTCGGTATATGAAAAAAAGCGAGGACGATTTTCAGACTATCGTGGTCAAGGCCCCCTGTCCACGACTGGAGGAAGCTTTGAAAGAAGCATACGCGAACGAATCCGGACGTGTGGGTACCCCGTCGGCCGATTATTATCGACAAATTTCCGCCCACACCGGACAAAATATCGCTACGATCACCGAAGTTGAGTTTCTCTACAATACTCTAGAAATCGAGAAGCAGCACGGCTTGAAATTGCCCGAGTGGACAGACAAATTTTTCAACAAAGAAATGCGTGAAATCGCGGCCCGTAGTTTGGCCATATTTACAAGCAACACGTTACAGCGACGACTTCGCGGAGGTAGGGACAATTACGTATTCCTCCCACAGATCTAATCGATCGGTACAAATGTAAACCCCTTATTACACGGGCACACGTGTGATCAAGGTTCGTCGCATCTCTGCGCGTGTACTTAGAGTCGTGAAGTCTCAACAGTATTCATTTTACATTGCAAGGAGGTAAAATGGATAAGGTAAAATATTACACGAAGAACCTTAATTATACATCGTGCATATATTTTAATACTCTTACCGTATCGTAGCCCGTAAAACGTACACGTACTTATACGTGTACAATGCTCGCACGAGACGCATATATCTAATGAATTTCTTTCTTTCATTTTCACCTTCTTCCCCGTCAGGGCCGTTACTAAAAGAAATCTTAGGACGCATGCAAGCCTCGAAAAGTGGCACAGATACGAGAAGAGCATATCTTTATTCTGCACATGACATAACTCTCGTTAACATACTGAGAACCATGGGATTCACGAGCGAATATTTTAAGCCTGATTACGGCGCGACACTCGTGTTTCAACTGCACGGTGTAACTGACGCTGCAGAGGACGCGGAAGTAAAGGTATCGTTTCAGACGCATTCAATGCATCATAAAAACCTCTTTCGACCGCCTTTCGCATGCACTCTAATTAATGTTCTTTTCTTCTGGTTTTCTTTCGCTCTTTGCAGCTACTGTATCTAAACGATACAAACACGAACACGCCGTACCCTATGAAAATACCAAACTGCGGCACGCCTTGTCTACTAGGAAACTTATCCGATATATGGAAAGACGTGATTCCCGATAACTGGGACGACGAGTGTCTACTATGACGTTTTCCTTTTCTTTGCTTTTCTCTGATATCTCGTGCTAGCTCTGTCACGTTTACGTTTCCCTTCGCGACATCGATAGCGGTACAAATAAAGAAATATCTGTTTTATTTGTTTCGGGCAAATAAGCTTCACAAACACGGCCCTTTTGTCATGTAAAACGTCGTTCAGAAGCGGTATAGACGGTTCTTCGTTTACGAGCGGTCGGTTCGTAGACGAACGTTAAATACGTCCACGAGTCGACGATAGATAGACTTATCTACAAAATGCGATGACAAATGCATGGCAAATATTTATATAGGTAAAATTAACATGGAAGTTTTCTTATTATTCCCTTTTTACATTGTTTTATGTAGCGTATCCAGTATCTTGAAACGGAACTCGTTCGTAAATCAAGAATCACTTTCATACCGTTCTTTGGAAATGCAAGTGAATCTTTGCAATTATTCGACTTACGCCACTATCGATGCCAACAGGCGATTTCTACTTAGAATTCATTTTTCCGTTTCCCGGAACCGTCCAATTCGAACAAAATCAAACGAACGAACGCGTTTAGGTAACTTCAAACGCCACGAAGAACAGTGTTAGCTCCCTCGAAATCGTTTACAATTCTCCGTTTCGCATGGAAATCGTTCGTGCGTGAAAGCTCGTGCGTCCAAGCTTTCGATCGAGGAAAGCACGCGGTGCACGCAGGCAGTCTTGGAAATGAACTAAATGGCCTTGTCTTTTGCGCGCAGCGAACAGTGCGCGAAGCGCAGCTGTGCACCGCGCACCGTATCATACGAATCAATTCTAATTCGAGCGAAGCTGGTTAAGATTACTAAATTGGCACAAAATCGTTTAACCAGGATGTGTCCGCGTTGCTTACGCAACAAATGACACTGGATGTTTTGCATGTCTCGTTGCGCAATACGAGAACGATTATTACGAGCAGTCTTTCCGTTGAATTCAAATACTCGAACGGATGATACGCGGGCATCGATTAAACGTCATCAAGTTCGCAACGTATCGACCGGGATATCGTGCCGTTAACCAATGGTATTCTTTCGAATATCATTGAATGTTTGAATTTGTAACGCAAGTACAGAGTGTCCCAAAAATGTTGTAACACTTTGAAATGGGTGGTTCGGGAGGTGATTTGAAACAACTTTTTCCTTAGCGAAAATGTTGTCCAAGGCTTCGTTGAGGAGATATTAACGGAAAACACTGACCAATCAGAGCGCGCGTATACCGTTGGAGCGGCCGTGGTAACGAAGGCTACGAGCTTAGCGGGCGCGCTTGTACGCGAACAAGCGACTCGATGTACATCGAAGGACATTGGACGCGGCCGCTTAGCTCGTAGCCTTCGCTACCGCGGCCGCTCCAACGGTATCCGCGCGCTCTGATTGGTCAGTGTTTTCCGTTAATATCTCCTCAACGAAGCCTCGGACAACATTTTCGCTAAGGAAAAAGTTGTTTCAAATCACCTCCCGAACCACCCATTTCAAAGTGTTACAACATTTTTGGGACACCTTGTATATTACATCAATGGCGTCACTAGGGTTCGCCCTGTGCAGCAACTGGTGGTGTCAGCCCCATGAACTTCCCGTATCCTACATTCTAAATTGAACTCAAAACTCAAAAAGGTATCCAATATATAAAGAATGTAATATAAGAAGTTAAGATGGGACCAATAGGTACAATAATAATAAATTGAAAAAGAAAAACTTTTTCGCGCTTCCTACTTTAGAAAACACTGCAATAGTGAGCCATTTTTATGTAACTCACTCTAACGGTGTCAGCCGGCGTGGTTCACACCTCCCTAATGACGTCATTGTATTACAGTAATAATCTGTGCATGTGACAGCCAATAGATCATCGAGAAACAATAATGCTCGAACAACTATCGTGCATAATTTAAACGCCCTGCGAATCCTGCATCCCTGCTATTTTTCTTTTCCCCTGTCCTTCTGTATAAGTAGGTAGGTAAGTAAATAGATACGACCCACTTAATCTACCAGTAACGCGTTACAGTACGTCCAATTAAAGATAAAGCTGAACGCACACGTGTTTCCCGGCACGAATGACTTACGTATGATCTACGTGGACATTTACTTATATTCTCGATCGAACAAACCGATCATTTGGACGTCCGGGTTGTCCACGATAGCGACGTACCAAAATCGAATAATCGAATCGAACATTTCACCGTATCTATTTAGAGTAGATGAATTCTTTATATAGAACAATGAGTAATTTACTCAAAAGTACAGTCAGAGTTCTTCTAGGTCTTCTAGGTATAAGAGACCACAAAACAATGCAAATACAATTAATACAAGCAAGATAGAAAGCAGATTGAATAAACTGGAAAATTATAATCGCTATAGGTTGGCTCTATTAGTCATTCCGATAATACGTTGCCTATCTCTGGTCAAGATCCATTCGTTCCAAATTCGTTCTAAATACAATTAGTCAGTATTTGACAATCGTGGAATATGTTCGAAGGATAGGAGCAAAGGTGAAAGTGCGAGAACGCATAGAAAAGCATGGCATACACAATAGGCCTATGGATTAAGAGATGAGTACTAGATTGTCTAAGCGAAGACGAAGAGGATGTTGAGCTGTGTGGTGGAAGGGCGGGGATGAGGCGTCGAGGTAGGAGAAGGAGAATCGGGATGCGCAGTCGTATCAGAGCAGTGACTTATCCACGACGTGGTCTGTCGAGCGGTCGAGTCGCGATCACTTTATCTCGCGATCGACGCGACCGAGCAGTAGTGAGAATCGATCGACAATCGGCATCAGATTTTTCACGCAACAATCCGCCGTTATCTATTTAAGCGTGTCCGTGAAATAAATGTAATTTCGTTAGCTTTCTACCAATTTTGACAGTGTCCGGTGAACAGTGTTATCGACTGACGTTCCAGCAACAGTTGCACGCGTTGTCAACCCTACCGTATGATAGTGTTCGATCTCGCCCACCGTTCTATTTGTGTTCCACTAGGATCAAAGAAAGAGGTTAGCTTTCTTTTACTTCCATCATACGAATTTCCATGTGTTTTACTCGTCATACTTTCTTTAATCAATTTTCCTATTAAATTTACTATTTCCAACGTTTTTCTGTAAAGACATCTATCGTTTGAGTAGAAAAAGCGTGTCGATCGCGATCTTATTACACGTTGTACGTCAACGTCATCGTAGCGTTTCCCTAATACGTGTTACGCCTGGAACCAAAGTCGAAGTGAATAAAACATGTTCTCGGTGCTTTCGAGAGAAAAACGCGTCGAGGTGTTCAGGAAACATCTTATATACTAAGCGTACTTCTGATTTGTTCGCAGAACCGTACATTAACTATAGCACGAAATGTTCAGTTGGTTAAACCGGGAGGAGAACCGCAGGCAAGATGTGTTTGAAAATGTCACGAGTGGCCTTAAAAGAATATACAAATCCAAACTGCTGCCTCTCGAGCAGCAATATCAGTTTCACGATTTCCATTCGCCCCAACTCGACGATCCAGACTTCGATGCGAAACCTATGATCCTGTTGGTGGGTCAATACTCCACTGGCAAAACTACCTTCATCAAGTATTTGCTCGAACGAGATTTCCCTGGAATAAGAATCGGTCCTGAACCAACGACAGATCGATTCATTGTAGTTATGTACGACGAGAACGAGGGTGTCATTCCTGGGAATGCTTTAGTCGTCGATCCTAGTAAACAATTTCGTCCACTTTCCAAGTTTGGGAATGCATTTCTTAATAGATTTCAATGCTCCGTGGTACAATCTCCTGTTCTGAGAGGAATAACCATAGTCGACACACCCGGTATCTTGTCTGGAGAAAAACAAAGAGTAAGTACTTTTGAAAGTAAGAATTTTTGCTTCATAGTTATTAATAATATTGCTTTCTTTTATGCTAGGTTGATAGAGGCTACGACTTTACCGGAGTTCTGGAATGGTTTGCAGAAAGAGTCGACAGAATTATATTGTTATTCGATGCACACAAACTTGACATTTCCGATGAATTTAGAAGATCTATAGAAGCATTACGCGGTCATGACGATAAAATTAGAATAGTCCTAAACAAAGCAGACATGATCGATCATCAGCAACTTATGAGAGTGTACGGAGCATTGATGTGGTCTCTAGGAAAGGTTCTTCAGACTCCCGAAGTAGCTAGAGTATACATTGGATCATTTTGGGACCAGCCATTAAGATACTTTGTAAATAAGAGGCGAGTCGTCTTTCACGCAATATTATCTTGTAACGATAATTTTATTTGCCTCGTGTAAAGGTGCAATTCTAATTGTTGTGCGAGACATCTAAATCTTATTTGTAGTAAGTCTACAACTACGTGCACGATCTATGTTATATCTAGATGCATATTCTTTTTATGCATGTATATACGATATAGATACATAAATGTATACACACACGCATATACATATCCATATTGTTATTACTCTTTAAATTATTTAATACAGGTTATTCGAAGACGAGGAACAAGATTTGTTCAAGGACTTGCAATCGTTGCCGAGGAACGCAACACTTAGGAAACTCAATGATTTGATTAAACGTGCGCGACTAGCAAAGGTAAGCAACTACAAAAATTGGTTTATCGATAATTCTTTTGACGTCGAACGATCGTTATAGATTATACATTATCATTCAATAACATGTATTAAACGAAATTCTTAAAGTCCAATTGCGTATTCGATATTCGTAGGTACATGCATACATTATCAGTGCCCTGAGAAAAGATATGCCTAATATGTTTGGCAAAGATACAAAAAAGAAGGAACTTATAAAAAATTTAGGTCAAATTTACGATCAAATACAAAGGGAGCAACAAATTTCACCTGGCGATTTCCCAGATTTAAAAAAAATGCAAGAATGTTTAGCGCATCACGATTTTACTAAGTTCTCTTCTATAAAGCCCAAATTGTTGGAAGTAGTCGATAAAATGCTCGCCGAAGATATCGCAAAACTCATGGCCATGATACCGCACGAGGAAGTGGGTACAACGTCAGAGTCGCTCGTCAAAGGTACTTTTATCTGTCATTTTTATTTAAGATATAAAAAATTACATAAAATACTAAAGAAATATCTATACGACTACGTCTATACTTCCTCTGTTTATTTTATTACGCATCAAATTTCTATGACCGAACGTAATTGCACAATAACGTTTCAAAGAAATCATTTCATTCGTTTGAAAAAAGCGGGACTATATCTCTGTACTATGTCTGTGTTTTATAAATGTCGCGAGTTATTGGTTGGCAATAGGATAGTTCAGTCAATATAACATATGAAATAATACTTTCTGTTACGATCATTATAGGCGGCGCATTCGAAGGCGTCGAAGATCAAATAAGTCCATTTGGATATAAACGAGGGGAAGGTATCGATGCAGGAGCGGGCGAGCCAGAATGGATTGTCAATAAGGAGAGAGCCAAATATGATAGTCTGTTCCAGGCGCTCGAGCCAACCGATGGAAAAATTACTGGTGCAGGTAAATTTTTATCGTATCTTATTTATATAACAAATAGAATCATGATAAATATCCTTTAGTATGTTGCATTAACCGTATTATGTTTATTCATTTTCAAGCTGCAAAATCGGAAATGGTGAAATCCAGATTACCAAATAGCGTGCTTGGGAAAATCTGGAAGTTATCCGATATCGACAAAGATGGATTTTTGGATTCCGACGAGTTTGCCTTAGCGATGCATTTAATTAACGTAAAACTCGAAGGTTACGACCTTCCCACAGAATTACCGGAACACTTGATACCACCGTCGAAGCGAGGTGAATAATTTGCGATTTTTGTTACAAGTGTCAACTTGCCGATACGTTTGATACATGTTTATCGCGTACATTACGCGTTTGTATTTATTAATTCGACAACAAGACAGTCGCAAACTCATCGACAAATGTTGTCACTTTTTTCAAATGTGCGACATAATACACGACATTCTCAAACTATTCCGTCACCAAATTACTGTGCATCGCTTCGGGATCTCTCTTCATCTAGTAAACCAAAAACAACGAGAAAAAAAGAAACAAAACAGCCTTTGGTCTTTGATTTATTCCTCGCGGGACCTTTCAACGCTTTCAAGTTATATCACAGGCTTTCGAAATAGATTTCTCATATCGAAACAATATATTTGGATTTTTTCTTTTTATTGGTATCACAGTCTGTATCATTCTATATCTCTTATGTGAGATAATCCACTTAAAATTTTTACTCTTGTATGTCATCGAGAATAAGACATCTTTCACACGGGCAGCCGGTATAGTCTATCGTTACCCTTATCGTATTGGCTAATACTAAATAAATGTTCAAGCGATAACAGGATAAAGTGAACATTTTGGATTATGGTTAAATTTTATTTTTCGTTAATTGAAATCGTTGCAGTAAACTACCGGCGCGTACATAGATATATAAGAAACAAAGTTAAAGACTATAAGTATACGGAATGTTATACATATGTATAATACTCGGTTGATTTGTTTATAATTCTCGTTTATTATTAGTACCTTGATTATCGATAATATTATCGAACGGTATGTACAAAATTCAATGTTTACATTCGTTAAAAAAAACACCCAACGAAAAAACATCTTAAAACGACACATAACTTCATTGAATACGATAATTACGCTACTCTGCAATTTTTTGTTTGCTTAAATTGTTTTCACTGTTAGCACCTGAGGTGATAGTGGTAATATCTATATGGAAGGAAAGACGATAACGCAGCATAATGACAAAATGGCAATAAATATATTCTTAAATTTAAAAAAAAGATGTTAGCCATGAATTGTTTTGCACGATTTGCTTTTTTTCATGGCATGTGCTTTCACAAAGTCAAACGTTTTGATGTAAATATAATTTTACTATAACTTGTAATATTTTTACAAAGAAAAAGTAATGGAATGAAAAATGATGGCAAGATGGATATTGAATAAATAGGATTTGCAATTATTTATAATCAAGTAATTTAACGCTACGATTGAGAAACGATTAGATGGCGTGAAATCACATTGCATTCTTTAGCACTGCCTTCGCATAATGCGTTTTTATGTGATATTTAACAGAGGAAATATATTCCTATTCACTGTCATTCTTGTATTTTATGGCGATACATTGTACCAATTGTCGGAAGTGTACATTATTTTCAAATTATAATTAATATATGGTCGTAATTTTCGATATACATATATATGATGGGCTTAGATATATCGTACCGTTCGAGAGGAATATTTTATTTGGAAAATACGCATGGAATACCTGGGATTAGGTGTTTGGTTACATTTAAAAACACATAGCCATCAGAATAGCCTTCCTCTCGGACGGAATAATTACTTGTGAGTCAATCCTGTCCACGAAAAGTACTCGTTACGCGCCATTGTTTTTTAATAGGACGCGTAACATATTAGCATCGGATAAATTCTGGACAGGACTGGTCTAAGTACCACAGCACCGTGCAAACTTATTCTTAGACTATTTTACACAAAAAATATTTACTATAACGTGGTTCGTTTTTGTAACGATTGCACATCGTGGTAATACCATTGTTTTTATATAATATATTTGAAATCAATGACATCGCGTTTGTGTGTTCTTTACGTGTTGCGCATTACTCGCGTGTATTTACACAACACAAACAAGACAAGGGTATTTGCTTCGAAAATCACAAAGAAGACAAACGTAATAGTACCAATGAAAATAAATTGAGAAGTCTCCATTTTGAATATCCATTTTTGATAAATAATCAGGACAGGTGCATTGTAAAAATTAAAAGGACGTATTGATACGACAATCAATATACTCTATTGCTTTCTCATATTACAGATATAACAAAATTGGTGTATAATTTTAAAATACAATTTATTTAGCCAAAAATACACAAATATAAAAAAAACATGTGCCTAAATGCAGACGCAAATACTCAAGTTCTCTTTACTTTTAATACATCTAAGAGAAAGGGAGAGAGGGAGAGCAGAATAATATGTACAAATATCTATTTTTAAAAAAGAAAAGATATTTTAAAAACGCATCGAGTATTATTTTCTTGTATTGGGCGCGTAGAAACTTTGGCTGTGATGCGATATAAATAGTAACGTTACATTAAATTTACATTCGCGATATGTATATGCGCGCACATAGTAAAATTTGTTCGGATATCGTTACAAACTGTTTCGTATGTACCGTGTCACCAATCTTATTCTATTAATCGGAAGTCGGAATCGTCGTACCAACAGTACGTTACAACTATGAACACGATACAGTTTTACAGTTCGTCGTGATTCATGCGAGTCGTGAAATGTAAGATTCTACGTTTTATACTCTCAGCCATGGTTTCATTTATGTGAAAACCATCTGTAATCTTCTTCCCATTATATTGAGAACTATATGCAATCAATGTTGGATATTGTTTAACTCCAGCCTTAATGCACTCTGTAACGTAAGCCTCGCAATTGTAACGGCCAAATTGTATCGTTGTCTTCGTCAACAACTAAAAGTAAAGAAGAACATCGATAAAAAGGAATCTCTCCGATATACAGTTTATGGAACGATAATATTATGCATACTTGAGCAGCGATAGCAAATTGAGGTTCAAGTTTAAGGCAGTGATGACACCATGGAACGAAAAAGTCAACGACCCATACGTTATGGTCGGTTAATGCCTCCCTCTGCAGAGTCGATGGATCTAACTGTCGCACTTTTCGTGGAAAATATCTCACGATCCATCTTAATACCGAGATTGAATCCCATTGTCCGCTGTAAGAACTAAAATGACAGATTTTAATTTAATCTCAAATTTCGAGATACATTATTCCTTAAAAAATTGAATAAAGGGCAAAGTACTTACTCGAATTTGGTTAAGTCTTGATTTTCGCTGGAATATAATCGTATTGTTGGATAACTATGTATTCTTTGGCTTTGACATAGACTGTATTCTGCTTCGCAATCTACGCTGGCAATTTTTATAAATCGAAGTACGGATAAAGTGTTTGCAACGGCGATCCATTCAGGTGTAAATCGCTGACACGGCGAGCACCGTGGCGAAAAGTAATCCACTACCCAGATAAATTTACCTTTTCTCCGACCGAGTTGGTTCTCGAAGTTCTTCGACGTAAGTCGTAAAACTATATAGAATGCAAAATTAACAAAATATTATCATTTTAAGTGACACACTTAAGATCATATTATGAATTAGTTTTCACCTGTGGGATTTCGCGCTTGATTAATAAACTGAATGATGTTCGCAGCAGTTTTCTGCATTGAGAATTTATCGAGGTCGGTATCATTTATGAGCATTGCTGTCGGATATGAGCGAATGTTGTATCGATGACAAATCGTTGAATGTACGGTACAGTCGACAGTTCCAAAACGAACAATCGATCTGTCAAATTCTAACGACGCTTTGCGGACTTCTCTTAAAAAGTTTACACATGGAGGACACCATGGCGCATACCAATCGAGAAACCACGCCTCGTTAACTACAAGTAATAAACACGATTAAGCGTAAATAAGTACAAACGAAAGTCTTCATTGTCAGATCATCGGCGTACCATTATTTCCTTCTAATATGGACGTCACCTGCTCCGCGGTCAACGCCCACACATTTATTGCCTTAACGCTACTGTACACAAATTTAACAATATCATTGAACGTATTCTTTCCGTGATACAACTCGAATGCTCCTCCTGGCTTAAGAATACCCCACATTGGATAACGATTTACGCCTAACGTATTGCAAATGTGCGAGTATTTTCCACAGTTAATTTTACCCAATTTAACGGCATCGCTAATACTAGGAAGCTTTTTCAACACTGGATCCGACTCTGCTATATATCCAATATAAAAATATACGAGCCATCCGGAATTAGATGTTTCTTCTTCCGTCAAAGATTTTTTAATATTCTGTAATGGAGTCGGTAAATAACGATGGTCTACACTCAATATTTTTCCCAGAACATGTATATGCCTTACCTCAAATTCAACAGCGTTCAGATCGCAAGGTTCCGGTAGACGCTCCATTACTTTTTCTATCAGTACTTTTGTTTCTTCTACATTTTCAAACGGAACAATCTGCCAAGAATTGTTGACAGGTGAAGAAACGGATAAATAAACCGCGTTTGTATCGTCAGAAATGGATTTCGCGCATGTTCTCTCGTGATCGCAAAAGAATATTTTTACATCGACCGTATTTTCCTAGAAAAAATCATTAATTTATATGATATTTCATAATCTAATGAATAGTGTAGTATAACTGAAAAGTAAGTATTAATTACAAATATTGCTGCAACTTTAAAACGCTCAGTCGATGTAAAACAATCGCGATCTCCGCCACAAACGAATATTAGTACAGGCTTGCTCGATCCTTCACTGCCGCGAGAAATAAAATTCTCCAAAGGTTCTTTTATTTCTTGAATATTAATCTCCAATTTGTCTAGAATAAAATCCATAATAGCAGTGTAAGTTCTTTCTCCATTATATTGTACTCCATCCTTTGAGTTCTGTAACAGAGATTACATGCAAGCAATTAGTCTTTCAATACCTGCAGATTGTTTGATCTTCGTGACTTTTGTACCTTTGGATAATGCATTAAAGTAGGGTAAGATCTTATTCCAATTTGGCGACAAAGTTGCCATTCATCTTCGCAATTTACAACTCCAACTCTTACGGCTCCATCAAGCTCTTCTGCAATTCTTTTCCAAGCTGGAGCAAGTTTATGACAATGACTACACATAGGAGAATAAAAGTTTACTATCCATACTTTTTCTGCATGAAGGACATTTTCAACTATAAAAGACACATTATCATAATATGTTAGTAATGCCTATAACTAGATAGGATTCAAATTAATTTGTAATGGATAAACTTACAATAATCATTCTCATAGAGATTAATAATCCAAGGATCATCATCATATATCCCAAAATTATTTGCATAATAACTCCAAGAATGAAATGTTCCTTGTTTATTCGCAGTCTCAATACCTTTTTCTCCATAGGTATCATATCTTTGTCTTAAAACTGGATCTTTCAATGTTTCATAGGCTTTTGTCAATCGAATGAACTTTGCTTGTGCATCAGGATTATCCTATAAAATGTAAACAGACAAATTGTATGTTAAGAAATATCATAGTTCTTCTTTCATTTAAGTGACTTAAGAAATTATAAAATCTATTGATTCTTTTGGGTTGAAAAAAATACAGATGCATAGTCTAAACGTGTATTTTGACATATTTAAACCCTTGACTTACATTATTTAAAAGGTTGATAAAAGAGTTGCACTTTCACGTACATTATTTTTGTCAGGATGTTCGATCAATGCTAATTTCTTGAAGGCTCTTCTAATTTCTCCCTGATCAGCAGTTCTGCTTACACCAAGAATTCCATAATAATCACTTCCTATGCTCAACGATAAATCGACAATAACAAGGAACACGTTTATAATAGTACTTTTATACCTAAAAATGATTAAATTTATTAAAAATTGTTTCTTTTACGAAATCTAGGCAGTTAGTTTTCATACATTGTTAATGAAATAAACGGGAACTAACATATTAAGTATAAGAGGTTATTTTGACCCGGTTATTTTGTCTTCCGTAACCAACTAATACTAAATTTACACGGTCAAGTTTTTTAATTTTTTAAACGGCTCTACAGATTACGGCTTACTTACATTTTTGTTGCTTTTTCGTTCCAGTAAACTATCGATGGTTTTTATGGTTTTTATATGCGTGTATTCAGTAAGCAGTAAGGCAACTGATTCCGAATCCCGGCCCTTTTATCCATATTACTAGAAACCACTAGGTTTAATCATTGAACGACGCTACGGTGAGCGAATAGAGGAACGGCGGGCAAGTTTGAACTTATTTATTTCATAGAAAACACACGGAAAAGCCGGATGGACTTCCTAACAACTTCTTGACACCTCTTAATGCAACCTTACACATTCTGATACGTCTTGCCAAACCCTGATACCTCTTGATACCCCTGGCATCGCCTTAACACATCCACACACTTCCTGAAACCTCCTAATACCTCCCATCCAAACACCTCCGGACATGCCTTGACACCTTCAAACCTTAGCTCAGACATCCTAACACTTTCAAATACCGCCTGAAACCTCATAATACCTTCTGACACATAACCTCTTACCACCTCCTGACACCTCCCAAAACCTTTCTAACATCTTATACAACCTCCTCACATTACCCTTCATTTCTTAGCACACTTCCCTTTAATTTTCCTTGCATTCCTACTACACCTCTTCGCTATTCATATGATCCTCATACAAAAGGTAAGTATCGAGATTCAATTAAAAGTTATACCACCTCTTAACATATCATGTTCTCCTGATACCAAAATGTAAAATCGGCCAGAGTTCCCATAAGTATCGGAAAAAAAATGTGCCCCTTGAGTTAGACAACCTATACTTACAGATATGTCGGGCCGGTTGCCTGCTCGCAGGCGCAGAAGTGCCCCTGTCATGCCGCAACCTACGATAGCGGCATTGTCGGAACGGTTGCCATCTCGTAGGCGCAGGGGTGCCCCTTTTATGCGGCAACCCATGTTTGGTAATTTGTCATTTTGGTTGTCTGCTCGTAGGCGCAGAAGTGCCATCTCTTCGCATATCATATTCTCCTGATACCAAAATGTACCAGTCGTTACGAGTCGTTTGCTTAAGTTTGCTTACACGTTTGCTTACGTTTGTTTACTTTTGCTCAATTGTAATTAGATTTGAGCAAGTTGAGCAAGGAATGAATCGATGACAAACTTGCTCATTTCTCCGATAGATGCGCTGACCATAATCGGAATTTTAGTTCGGTGTAATCACCGCTAGATGACTATTAATTCGGATAAAAGCGCACGTAATTTAAATTAGTTATGTGAACTGATGGTGATCACTGAAGCGGAACGTTAATAATGGTATATTTATGTATAATAAACTTTATCTCAATGTGTTTAATGTGTCACTGCTCAAACCTGTCTATGAACCTAAGTCTGTCAGCAACGTTTGGTTCATTGTCGATTTTTTATACCTATCACACACCCTTCTGTGAAGTTTGTGTAGGGTTTCGATTGGTACAATCTTCGACCATATGTGGTCGAAGGGTATAATACACGTTACCATTTTCAATCTACCAATCGTGTTTTCTGTGCTTGCGAATATAGTAGGAACAGAATTATACGAATGCGAACGGATCACAATATCCGATAACGTTTTTCACCGTACTTTATTTAACAGCCATTAATGATCAAGTACGGAATTGCATTAATATGTATCGTGTAAGAAGTTGTTGAAGTCTTTTATAAACGTTCCTTAATATTACAGTACCATTATTGTATAGTTTTCAGTGATAAAAGTAGTAAAAATATGTCTTCAAAGCGTATACGGCAAGGTAAACATACATAATACTCGAATTGTATGAGTCATGGCGTCGTTAAACTTCTTGTTTTCGAAATACAATTCATTTTTATTTGAATATTATTTGCAGGCTTATTTTATTTCGACATATATAATTTCTTTGCACCTCTATCCTGTTACCTATTTATTATTTTAGCTTTGTTTTAATGCCTACATTTAATTTTTAGAATATAAAGCACATACTATCAATAGTAGAAACCTTAAGATGAATTCAAGTCATGATACAAGTATTGATATTCATTCTCCAGCTCACAAGGATTCAAAAAGTCAGAAAACAATTAAGAAACGTCTCATGTTTACCGATACAGAGCATAAACAGAAAATTTATAGTAAAACGCACAAAAAGTCACCAAAGGCTGCATCTCCTGGAAAGACATCTTCAATTGACACTCCAAGATTGTTGAAAAATCCAAAAACATTGACTCCAACAATGAAATCTCCAAGAAAATCACAGAAATTTAGTAGTCCATTTAAGGCCAACAGTTTGCAATTACGATCAAATTATTCTAATAATAGTGTAACTACACCACGTTTATCAAAACAGGATACACAAAAAAGTTTCAAAGATTCCTCTGAAATATTGAAGAAAAAGAAGAGTGCAACTTTGATTAGCATGAAACAGGCATTAAGAAAGTCTCCAAAGATTGTAATAACATCTCCAAGCATTGAATCTATTCCCTACACCAATGAAAAAAGACAGTCACAGTTAAAAAAGGGAAAATCTAAAAAAAATTCTGATACTAATAGAACAAAAATCAAGAATACATCTGCAAGTAATATAGATGTAAGTATGTCCATGAAGGATGTGTATGGATTAAAAGAACCTATAGTTGTACTACAAAAACTTCCAAATGTTAATTCGCATACACCTCCTTTGGTAAAAAACCATGTAAAAAGTGTAAGAAATAGTAGCAGTAATTACAGTAATATTAGTCCAAAAATGTTCAAGTCTGTGATTGGTAGTCCATTGGAAATATCAAAATCGAGTGGGAAAAGACACTTGAAAACAAGAAGTACCAAACAAAATATTTGGTCACCTTCTAAAGTACAAGAAATCATAGCAGTTTGTCCTTTGAAAGCATCTACTCCAAAAGAGAAAGAGCAACTTGATCAAGTGACTAACTCTAATGAATTTCACATTGAACAAGAAGTACAAGATAAAAATGGAACATATGAACTTGATGAGCCTAAGACTCCAAGTTTACGAAAGAAACTGCAAGAGAGACAGAGTGCTAAGAAAGCGAATTCAATGGCGAATACGGCGAAAAAAAATGTAAAAGTACGTTTTACAAGCCCTTTACCAGATTCAAGATGCATATATGGCCTTCGTAGTCAGAAAGACCAAGTTAAAGATCCTAATAATGTCACGATTGAAGTAAAGTTGGACAAGAAATTAGCGCGATCACCAGTGCACAGACAATCGCAACGCATAAGCAATGGAAACATTCCTGGTGCCAATTATTTAACCCCTACACCTAAATCGTATCATAAATCTAAGAGTACTGCCAATGTAAATATTTCTTCACCATCATCATTCAATTTCTCCGTTAAAACGCCAGGTAAGTTTTGTTGAAGCACTTATGTCATGAAATTATGCGTATATCAAGCAAAAATGAGTGTTTCTACTTTTAGATTCGAAATATTCTTCGACAAAGAAAGTTCCAAATTTTGCAGAAATTCATAAAAAGATGTTTGCCAAATCGGAGTCCGTTGTAGATGCAAAAAGACGATTGGAGCGACGGCATATGGCGCTGAGTAATATATTTTATTTCATATTTACATATTACAATATTATGTCGTCGATTTCTTAAACTTATACGTATCTTTTAGCCGCGCTGAAAGTCAAAGAGTTGACAAGACATAAAATTAACTCCAAAGAAGAAAGTGTTTTACCTAACGAACCATGTCGCGGCTCTTGTAATCGGTTTGGATTCAAGATAACCAAAACCGACGCAATCAATTCAATTATAAAGCAGCGTAGTTCGCATTTAATAAGGTGAAGTTTTAGTTGCATTGATATTTTGAAGTTGAAATTAATGTTAGTCTTTCTTATACTTCTTTTACAGGACTAAACAACACCAGAAGAGTAGACAGATTCTGAAGGGCGTGCGAACAAATCGACGTTTCGAACTTCAAATGAAATCTAGAAATATGAAGTAGTAGGGTCGATTCTATTCCTTTTTTATAACATGTTTTTTATTGTTAGAGAAGGCCTATATTGTTTACATTTCATTGATTGCAAAAAAATCTCTATACTCGTCAGTATTCCTCCATACTTGTTTCTTATCTTTTGCATTTTGAGAATTTTCTTTTAATTCCTTTAATTCGCATCTATTGTACTCGGCAGAGGTGGGTAAAATTTAACGTGTATACCAAAAGACGAATAAAATACAATATAGTGATTGGTGGTGATTTAATTTCAAGTTTATATCTCTTCTTGTTTGTGGAGTAACATTATCATTGTTACTGTCCGCTGGATTTTTTAATTCTAAGTTTCATTTAACGAATGATTGATGAACGTTTATTTATTATCCGTTGTTTCAAATTTTCGCGTAGGTGAGAATTTTCCTCATCTCTGGTATCGAGGCAGGCAGGTGTATGTATTCTTGTTTGTAGAATATTTATCTAAACTGAGGTATAATACTCGATTATGATGCAGTAATTGTGGAAAATGAATGTTTTGAATAAAAAATAAATAATGTTACTTGTCACATTATGACCTATGCGTATGTGTATGTATATGTGTACCTAGCTGTGTCCAATTTGGATCATTTTATCACCTCGTAAACGAGGTATGCCTCGTGTGTTCTTTGTGTAAAGTAGAAATAAATATATCCTTATCAAACTGAAGAATTAATGCCATCGACTGTGTGCAGACGTACATTTAGCATGAAAATGTATTCAACCGCAGTGCTTATGTCTGTGGAGACGCAGGCGCTCACGAGCTTAGGAAGAACCTTTTGTAGTGGTAAAAGGTGGTGGAGGATATTCTGCGTCAGCTGTATACACATTTAATAATGTTCCGTACATGCTATTATAGATATCGTCGGTAACAATCTTTACATATTTATCGAAACGTTTATCAGTGTTTAAAAGATCGACGGAAAGTAAAGTGCATCATTGAACTCAGTCACAAACAGCTGTTTGCATTACAAAATTTTGAAGACCGCTGACAAAATTCGTTTCATTGTTTTAACATTATCATAGTGGAAAAGCAAGTACAAACAGGTTATGCATCATAAATGTTGGAATTACTTGGATAGTCCCCGTATTTAATTCTGAAGAATTCAAGATCGTAGGAAAAACGATCAAAATGGTACCTTTCAGTGGTTTTCTCATCTAGCTGTCAAATAAATAGACATAACCCAACATATAAATTCAAGATAACGGGTGAAATAATTAAAAATGGATGTGTCGATGAGGCTAGAAGCTATAATACGTAAGTTAAAATATTTATATTATAAATTATTCAGTCGCGTTACGCGCATTAAGCGTTGGTTAGTTTATCGAGTATTTGTAGGGTAGTAACAAAGATTTATAAACACTTTGTACATCATATTTTCTTCATAGAAAAAGTAACAAATCCACAAACTCAGAAACTCGATATAGTAGCAGCTACTGAAACGTTCTG